GAGACACAATTTTTAATGAATTACATTTTCATCATCTGTACCACAAGGGGTTTGACTTGAACATGACCTCTACAGTCCCTTCAATGATTCTATTAAATGACCATGCAGAAGTCAAGAATATAAGCTGTCTCCCTCCACCCTCACCACCACCACCCCAAGAGGTTGCAAGAAGAAATAAAAGAATGATCCCATACATTCATTCTGACTAAGAAATGTGTTTTGCTGTTTTCTTTTCTTTTTAAAGAAATCCATTTATTAAATAGTGCAACAAATTTGTATTTGGAAGAGAATTCAGTTTGTTGGCTGCATATATGAAGCTGGAGCAAATAATGTTCAATTAAATTCAGCTCCCTTCCATGATGGGTAAGAATATGTAAATATGTGAGATCCAAATGCATGAGTAACTTGGCAATTTAGATTCTGCTAAGAAAAATGCCAAAAAAAGAAAGATGGGCCTATTGTCCATTAATAGACACATATCTTAAGTAATTTTCAAACTATTCTCCATCCTTAAACAACGTTCATTTTATTTACTTCCCAACCAATAACAGGAAAGACAAACTTACTACCTTCAAAATAATTACAAGAAATCATATTCATTTTTACATATAGGTACATACCTTCACATATAACATATCACTTATTAGAATAAACATATACAAGCCAGATTCCATTGAAGTTGATCCTTGGCAGTAACAAAGTACAGAGGGTAATAAACAAAAGTAGCAAACATGCAAGCATATGACATCATGGGCTGTATTTTCAAAAATATAAAAATTGTCTTTAGAAAAATGCCTTCTTAGGTTTTTATTTAAATTTATAACCAAAATGAAGAAAGTAGGTATAAGTATAAAACAATTATCTAAACCCAGGTTATCTTATATTTAATGATTTTGAATTGTCTAAACAAATGTTTATTGTCTAGCTCAATGGTCACAGCATCAATGAACTTATTAGAACTTTCTAGGCACGAATAACCAGGAGTCCTTAGAGATTGTTGAACACATTATGGAAACAGAATGTACAATTTATTTTTTAATTCCAAACAAACAAAATTATTTTCTCCATTTGGTTAATAAACTAGGTTTGTTTGCATCGCTCATCACAAAGTAGCGGTTCTATCAGAAATTGGAGCACCAGGTTCAGTAAGGAAAGACAGGATCAGTATCTAATGTCTAAAAGCAACAATAACCAAATGGCTTCAAAATGGCCATGTTAACCATGGACTGCCTGTAATCAGGACACAGGGATGTGTCATCATAACAAAGGTTCTGTTTCCTACAGAAAGGGTATCATTTCATTATTCCTGACAACATAGCACAACATCTAAGTAATCTTTTATCTCTTCAAAACTGTGGAGTTTCATCTTTAAAAGATCATCAACATTAAAGATGAAACAAAAAGCAGCCAACTGGCTCACACACACAGTCGGCACATATACACGAAGACACCCATACACAACTCTTTTTCTCTTCACTAAACTCTTTAACAGTGAGAAACATTTGTAAATAATTTAAAATTCATTAATTTAAAGTGTTTCTGTTCTAGAGTGCTAAATATTGCATAATATGATTAAGGCTTATGACTCTAACATCATTATGTGTCCCTTTATGATTGATGCCACACAGTTGGATTTACAGTTCCCGTTGCCTCTTTGAAACAAGGTGATTGTAAATGCACTTGACTCCGTTGTCCTCTGGCAGTAGACAGGCATAAGCTGCGCCCAGTTAGGATATGTCCCAGCATTTCAGGAACCTGGCACAACTGCTTACATCACAATCACAATTACCAGACAACCTGTGGGTACCCATTTGTTACTGAATTTTTACCCTGTTTGTTATTGGTGCACTGTATGTACCTACAACGGAGGTTCTTTTTAATGGAGATTCTTTATTTTCAAGCATAAAAGCACAGAAAAGTAAAAGGAAGGGTTCAAAAGAAATTGTAAAAATTATTTATTAAAAGGAAACGCCTGCTTAAAGAAGTTTATGCTCAGGTAATTCTCAAATATAATAATTTAGTAATTTAAACTGACTTGAAATGTATGCTTTATATTCCAAACGTGTTTACTCATTCACAGTGCAATATTTGATGATGCATCAGAGGCAGTCCATTCTTCCATATTTCTTTCCAGAATATTTAAAACCAAGTAGTTCTGCTGCTTTGTCAGAAAAAGCATCATTTTTATGCATGTGAATGAGTTGTATACAAATATTTGGTAATGAAACATGCAGTGGAGTAGAGAAACTGAAATTATTTCATCTGCCTCCCCACTCTATAGTATCTACTAATTCTTTACTTTTAAAAAATAGTCATATTTTGTGTGGTTATGAAGCTTACATAATGAAGTATAGGTAATATGTCCCAAAGTAATCTATTGCAACAGGTATAAGAAATACAATAATGTATGTGTAAAAGTGACATTCACTGAAGGCAAAAAAGAATCCTACATGATTTCAATATTCTATAAGAGGATACAATTAAGGCAAACCCTCCAATGATAATATTCAAATGATTTATGTAAATTAGAAGGGTCAAATTCTTCTCTATCTACTCCAAGTGAATATTAGTCTAGGTACCAACTTGTACTATGCAACAGTCATTTGATAATAGTAATCTACTAGTCTTGAAAGAGTTAAATCTTCCAAACAGTCTACAAAGTAATTTGTACCCTGAAAAATCAGGCGCAACTAATTAAATTTTGGGGGCAGAAAAAAAACATAATTAGCTAAAGACTTTCTCCTTGTTAATACTACAGTGAGGAAACCCGTGGTAATATCCGGAATGCTTACCAGTCGTCTACAGTGAGATTTCATTAGAGAAAATCTGGGTCTTTGACTTTGATCTTTATCGGTTGCCTTTTCTTTGTCAATATTTTAACTAACTAATTTTCTGATGGTCATCAAGAAAACAGTTCAAGATTTTAATGTTACATAACTGATTTTCAGGTGAAATACTCAACTTGGCAGACAGTTTTGGGCACCGTTTCTATTTGGTATTTTTGTTATTGTATAAATTAAGAAATAAAATTCTATAAAGAGCAACCATGCTCTAGAGTTACCAACATAGTAATTCATCCTCAGCATCAAGAAAAAAATGTAATGCATTTCAAAAAGAGTTCAGTTAACATGGTTAATTTTTTTAAGGTGTAGTTATCTAAAATGTGGCATGTTAGCTTAAAAATGATCTCTACTCTTGGATAAAAAAAAAGCTGTAGTATATTTACACAATGGAATACTACTCTGCCATAAAAAGGAAGAAAATTTTACCTTTTGCAACAGTATGGATGGACCTGGAGAACATTACACTAAGTGAAATAAGCCAGTCAGAGAAAGACAAGTACCATATGATTTCCTTCATATGTGGAATTTAATGAGCAAACTGAACTACCAAGCAAAATAGAGACAGGCTCATAGATAGAGAGCAGTCAGACAACTAGGGAGTGAGAGTGTGGGGATAGAGGGATTGAGCAAAAAATAAATAAAAAGAGAGAGAAAATTCATGGACATGGACAACAGTGTGGTGATTTCATGGGTGGAGGAGGGTGGGTGAAGGTGAAAGAGGGTATAGAGAGGGAAAATGGTGATGGGAAAAATAAAATAAGAAACCTTAACAATAAGAGAAATGATTTCTACTCTTCAATGTTGGTTCTGGCTAGAATTTTTACACGTAAATTACTTGGTAGGTAAAGTTTGAGAAATAACACACATATGCACATGCATACCATCACCATCACCCCATAAGCCATAATTTAGTGTCCCCAAATATGCTTGATGAAAAGAATTATCAGAGGAACGTTTCCAAATAATGGATCTAGAACTTTCTAAGGAGATTCTGATTATCTAGAGATATTAGGAAATGTATTCAGATCACTTTTTTTTTTTATGTGTAGAGCTGTAAATCACCAACTCATTCTAGGATGAGATAGTTTGGTTGAAGAACTTTAAAATACAAGAACATGTTGCCCTAATTTCCTGCAAAGCACTCTATGTAATAAACCTCATAGTGGTCCCAAATAGCTACTTGGGGCAAACTAGAGCCACTGTTTATAAAAACATAGTCACTCGTGGTTTTTTTTCTTCTAGGCTTTCAGTTTTATTAGGGCCATCAAGTACTAAATTAATTATTGAAGAATATTGTTTTGAGATGGGGATAAATGAAAAACTTTCTGACTTAGATATTTACTTGCCCAAATAGATTGCCAGTATGAAACACATTCAGAAACCATATCTAAGAATCTACAGCTCTTTGATTCTTTGTCATTTTTTTAATGAACTAAGATGCCAATTAATCAACAGGGAACAATTCAGAACAGCCACTCAGTGACATGATTAACAATGACATTCAGTGACAATAAGCCAAATGTCTAATAAGGTCACGTAGAGTTTTATATGTAGCTATGGCTTTGAAATAGTATGGTTGTGAACAACTGATAAAGCGCTCTGTCATTTAGTTAGCTCTTTATCTAGTTCAATGTGCAACTTTTAATAGAGAGCGGCAAACATTTATGATCATGACTCTGGCTACCCAATGCTAACACTGCCAGCTGAAAATGTTGTAGTGGTTGTTGTTGTTGAGTTCATCGCTGATTTATTTTCAGCCTTTCATTGTGTAAAGAGTCACTCATTCCACTTTACCCCATTTTGTTCCATTTTCTCTTATAAATAAAACACACCACTTGTTTTCCTACTAAAAATCTTTAAAAAGTGGAGGGAAAAAAGCAATTACGACATTTATGGCATTCATTTGCAATTTCAAAAAGTTTTCACACTATTCCATTTGCATACCATCAGCATTTTTATTTAAAAGTCCGCCCTTCTGTCCTTGAACCATCGTCTTCAATTAACATACCGCTCTGTAAGCACTGGAGACTTGTTCAAAAGGCTGATAACACCTTCGCTCAGGGAGTACAGAGACAACCTCTTAAGAGCACGGGTTGGGTTTTTTTTTTCAACCAGTTTTCCTAGACATCTGTCAAGAGGGAAGCAAACATGACCTTTAGTAAGACCGTGAGCAGGATTCACGTCTTGCCAGCAACGCTTTGTTTTTCAAACGGAGTCCACCTTTATGAGGTGATTGTTGGTCCTTAACGGCGAGGGTTTGCATTTCACCCTGCCTGCCCCATCGTTGGTGCTCTCCACAAAGAACATCCTGGCTGTACACAGGGAGACGATGATCCTCCTGTACTCCTTCCTGAAGTTCTGGTTCAGCAGCCCGTAGATGATGGCGTTGAGGCAGCTGTTGAAATACGCCATGTAGTAACTGGCCACGAACAGCCACTCTGGGATCCTGGGAACCATGCCGGCGGGGTCTGAGGCCACGGCGAGGCCGATGAGGTTCAGGGGAGCCCAGCAAATGGCAAACAGCACGAAGACCACGAACATGGTGACGAAGTTCCTGAAGTCCTGCGGCTTCAGTTTGGGTTTGTGGTCAGGCTTCACCCTCCGTCGGACCTGCAGGACCAGGATCCAGATTCTCAGGTAGCAGAAGACGACGATGACCATGGGGACCAGGAAGTGGAAGACCACCACGGCGATGGTGTAGGCGGAGCTGACGGACTGCGCGAAGGTGCAGGAGTAGATGCGCGGGTCGTACTGCAGGGTCCCGATGCGCAGGTTGGGCGCGATGGCCGCGAGCGTCAGGACCCAGATCAGCAGCACGCAGCAGAGCGAGTTCTTGTTGCTGTACAGCCGGTCGTACCGGAGGCTGTGGCAGATGTAGCAGTAGCGGTTGATGGCGATGCCCGTGATGTTGAAGATGGAGCCGATGACGCTCAAGCCCATGAGGAAGCCGCTGACTTGGCAGTGCAGGTAGCCGAGGTTCCAGCCGTCGTGCAGGATGGACGTCAGCACCAAGGGGTACGGGTACACGGCCACCACCAGGTCGGCGACCGCCAGGCTCACCACAAAGATGTTCCCTGCGAGAGAAGGATTTGGAAGATGCAGCTTAACACCAATAGTTCGTGGCTCGCATTCGTTTTCTTTCGCGGTTATTTAAACACGGAGCTGGGCCCAGCCCGCATGGCTCAGTGGTTGAGCGGAGACCTATGTGAACTGGGAGGTCAGGTTTCATCCCAGGTCAGGACACATGGGGCTTGTGTCCCGCTCCAGTGTGGGGCTTGCAGGAGGCAGGCGATCAGTGATTCTCTCTCATCATGGATGTTTCTCTCTCTCTCTCTCTCTCTCTCTCTCTCTCTCTCTCTCTCTCTCTCTCTCTCTTCCTCCATCTCTGAAATCAATAAAAAATATAATGAAAACTGAGCTGTTTTGCAATTTGGATGACTTGACATCGCGGCACCTATGGTTTATGAATGATGGAGGCTACTTTTACCAGGAAGTGAGCCCATTTGCTGCCCTTATTGGGTTAATTCCATGGTTCACAATTTCTTACAGCCCCAGAGCAAGGCATATTCTATCTTCAAAACTGTTGTCTTGCAAAGTGTTTGTTTTCTCAAGTGCTTTACAGTCTTGAGTTCGGTATACTCCTATCACATTGTCCACATTACCTGAGAAACTTCATGTCATGTTAGTTCCCCAGCTAGCCATGGCTTCCTTCAGTTCCAGGCCTTCTACCCCTCTCAGTGGTTCGCCAATGAGCCTCTAATTCCTGTTCCTGGAGAGCAATGGATTCGTGTCCATCGAGTAATATTTAAGAGAAAAGGGGATTTCATCCTCAGCTGTCTGGGGGAGAATGGGCTTCAGCCCTTCGTAGTTGTCTCATTGGGGCCGGGGACATTATCTCACCAAATTCAGTGTCCTCTTCTCTAAGATGGGAATAATGATAGTATCTCCCTCAGAAGGGAGGATGATGAGGGGGGATGAATGAAGCCATTGATGTTCAGTGCTGAGCAGTACCTGTCACATGCTAAGTGCTCAGTAAGTTGATACTGGGATTCTACAGCTCTCTCACCTCACTCCATGGGAAAAGGTAGAAATATTTTTGGGTGTATAAAGAACTTAAGGTACAAAAATTAACCCTAAATATTCAGATTAAGTGGTAAATTTCTATATGAATATAATAATGCAACACATTTGAAACTATAAAAAATAACTCTGGCCAAATTGTATGAGATGTTTGGCAAGTACATCCTTTAGTTTATAGCTCATTGGCCTTTGTCGCTATTCCTTGTGCTCTGAATGGCCTTTCCTTAACTTTTAAAATGCTACCCATTTTCTCAAATCTACCTTAAATAAAAATCACCCCAGATTTTATTTATTTGCCCAACCACATGGCAGCACTTCCTCTTTTGAAGGTTCCTAGATCCTTTAATTTATATCATTTTAATTTATACCCTATCTAATAAAGAGGAAATATGCAAATTGACCATCACACCATCACAAAAGATGGCAGTGCCCACAGTGGAGGTGGGGTTTCCGTGACAAAAGATGGCTGCACCCACAGTGGAGGCCAAGTTCCCATAACAAGCCTTAATGAGCAATCAGCAGGGACCTGAGGCTGCGTGAAGCCGGGCCAGGGTGGGGGACCTGAGGCCCCGCCCCCCCTCCCCAGCAGGGCTTGATGGGGTATCTCAGGCTGGGCCCCCCACCTCGGGGCCCGGCTGGGGATCTCAGGCCATGCTCCTCACCCTGGTGCCTGGCCTGGGGAACCTCAGGCCATGCCTCCTGCCTGGTGGGGCTTCACAGGGGACCCCAGACCACACCCCCCACCTGGCAAGGCTTGACGGTTGACCTCAGGCCATGACCCCCACCCAGCAGGGCTTGACAGGAGACCTCAAGGTGTGCCCCCCACCCCAGCCTGGGCCGGGGGGCCTCACGCTGTGCCCCCTGCCCAGCGGGGCTTGACAGGGGACCTTTGCCCCACTGCCAGGCTGGAGGACCTCAGACCACGCCCTACGCCCTGGGCCAGGGGACCTGAGGCCATGCCCCCCACCCCAGCACCTGGCTGGGGGACCTCAGGCTGTGCCCCCACCCCAGCGCCAGGCTGGGGGGATCTCAGGCCACACCCCCCACCTGGTGGGGCTTGACAAGAGACCTGAGGCTGTACCCCCCACCTGGCAGGGCTTGATGGGGATGGGACCAGATGGGTCTGGGTCTCGCATGATTTCGAGGCACACACAGGTGGGTGGGGACTTGACTCTGGGTCCCGTGGCACGCCCCACACTCTGACAGGAGGAAGATTTTCATATACATTTTACTAATTTTCTTTCATCTCTGACACTTCTATTGTAGAGAAAGGGAAAATAGCAATATTAAAATATTTCCTCTAATTAATTCCCTTTTAATGTGCACGAATTTCGTGCACCGGGCCACTAGTTAAATTATAATAAATTCCATTCAATAGAAACTTATTAAGTGCATATGATGGGTGCTGGGGAAACAGGAATGAACAGACAAGAGATCATATGGTCCTTGATCTTAGAAAAACAAACAAAATTAAAATAGAAATAAAGAAGTACATGAGTACATACAGAGAGTGAAGAGGCATCAGGAAGAAAGTTAGCTAGACAGGTGGGGAGAAACATGCTAGGAGAGGGACTATATGTTTTGCCTTTTATTCTATTAATTTGTAAAGGTAGCTTTCCTATGTTTTCATAGTATAGTCTTCTGAGACTGTCTTCCTCATATTTTTATCCTGAATAGTAGTCAGATGAGACTTTTGCTCAAATGCTTGATGAAGTAAATTAAATTGTCATCTCCCAACATCTGAAATAAAATAGCTTTTGTACTTGAAGTTTCTATATTATTTGATTTCCGCCCCCCCCAAAAAAGGCAAGGTTTTGCAACTTAATTAGGAATTTTGGATAAATTGTCATAAAAATAACTTCTTTCAAAAGTGGTTATACTAAGCCAAATTAAAGCAATAAAAGCAAATTTTGTTTTTCTACAGATTGATTTCAAATTCCAATGAAATATTTAAATTACAAAGTGGGCATATTTTAATAAATGTTTAACTCAACATATTTAATAGTTTAAAAATAAGTATAATATGTGAGGGTGTGGGGCAGTAGAAGAGGGTATGGGGGGAAATGGTGATGGAAGGAGATTTGGATTGGGGTAGTGAACATACAATACAGTATACAGATGATGCATTATAGAATTGTACACCTGAAACCTATATAATTTTATTAATCAATGTCACCCCAATAAGTTCAATTTTAAAAAAACTAATATATGAAATTCAGCTACAAAACAAATAATCATCAAAATAGTACATTTTTACCTAGATGGTCATGATGACAAACTGGCTTAAACCAGATTTATTTTTGAAAGAGCTTATGCATAAAATCACAAATGATGTCATAGATTGCTTTCATGGCTTTAATCCTCTGTTCCATTTACTTTGTAGTAATTATGCTTCTTTTCTCTTCAAGTAATTATATTAATTAAATCATTAGTTTAATTTTCTCTGAACTAATCTCATTTACAAGTGTTCGGAGAAAAGAATTAAGCCATAGCCTCTATGCAGATGTGATGATCAGGTAGCTCAGGTGGAAGCTTTATCACATCTGCTTTGTATGTGTGGAGTGTGTGGGTGTGTGTTGTGTGGGGAGGTTATTTTGTTTGTCTTTTTCCCTCTTCTATTCCCCCTGCCATCTAATATGTATTAGCAGTTAACCTCACCTCTCAGTATTTCTGTTACAGGATATCTAATGGGGACAGGGATTCCACTAGAAGAATAATGAAAATCATGCAAAGATGAATAAAGAGACAGTGTTGTCTTTTGGGGTGAGGGTTAGCGTGTTTTTTAGTTTTCAAGGACAGTTGCATATGTTGGGGAGAAGCATAGTTATGATGTTTCCTTTATCTGGAAGTTGAGTATGGTTAATGGAGATAGATATATGCATGCCAAGTTGCCAAGGGGTGGACTGTGGTGGGTTTGTATTGTTTCAATTTAGCTAAGCTGGAACTACCCTTCCCAGAATTTTCTTCCTGGTGTGTTAACATGGTCCAAAAAGGAATGTTGCATAGGATTTGGAAGGTGGAAGTGAAGCAGAAGTTACATTTTTTCTTAATGCTCAGAAGGCTCAATCAGGGACTAGGCACTGTGGCATCTCCACATTAATTAGTGACATCTTAGCTAGGTGAGAGTGCAAGAATTTCCTATCCTTGGCCAGATGCTCATCTTTTCTTTTTTTTTAATATATTTTATTGATTTTTTACAGAGAGAAAGGGAGAGAGATAGAGAGTTAGAAACATCGATTAGAGAGAAACATCGATCAGCTGCCTCCTGCACATCTCCTACTGGGGATGTGCCCGCAACCCAGGTACATGCCCTTGACCGGAATCGAACCTGGGACCTTTCAGTCTGCAGGCCGATGCTCTATCCACTGAGCCAAACCGGTTCCGGCCAGATGCTCATCTTTTATCAGTTACTTTATTGCTTTAAAAAAGAATCCCACGCTCTGCAGGTCTCATGCTGACTTCCGTTTGAAAGACTACTTGTGCATCACTTTGCTGCTATGTGATCACAGAGAAATTTGTCTCCCAACATAATATTGTGCCAAGTTTGGGCCTTTAAGGTTTCCATCAACAATATTTGCCTTGTTTTTAATTAGGTAGTAAGTAATAATAAAAAACTGTTCAATGATTTAACCCAAGGATATTCGTTTTCTTCTGTGTGCTCTTCAAAATGCTGGCGATGGGAGCCCTTTACTACGACGAGCCTGGCCTCTAGTCTGCTTCTGTACATTCTCTCTGTTTTATACACCTTTTAGTAGCTGCTGCTAATGCCCTTCCCAGGTCGCCTTCGTCAGCATAGTGCATTTATCTCTAGAATTTGGATGAGTGTTTGGTGCTTGCATTTGGCTGAGGTGCACCTTTGCCCAGAGATTTGCCCTGAGTTGCACAGATAAGGATGATCACTGACAGTAGAGTAGAAAAGGCCAGCCCCCTTGCCTCAAATGGTGACAACTGTGTGGTTCGATTTCTGCCCAGAAGCCTCCGCCTCATGGGCCAG